GTTCCATTCTATATGCATCCGAAGAAGTGGGCTGTAGTCCACGAAAGTTTATGCTCTAATAAATTTGTTAGTCTCTAAGGTGCCACAAGTACTCCTGTTCTTCTTTTTACCCCAAACCTGATTTTCAAGTCGCTTTGAGAAGTTTCTCTGCCCATGTCCCTATTCAGCTTTTGTTTTTCCCCAAAAACCCTCATCTTCAAAACCTTTTCCTAGACTTTAAATCCAGCAGGGGCCACTCTCTGTTCACTTAATCTGACCTCCTCCATAACAGAGGCCAGAGTCTTTCACCCCCAGTCCTGCAGTGAAGGGAATTCTTCTTCACTCCGTAAGTGACACTACTGAGCTCAGTAGTGTGTGGTTGAACTGGATCTCTTTTAGAAAGACAAGCAGCCTTGATTCAATGGCTTCACGTGATAACAAATTCACCACTTCCAATGGTGAGCTGTTCCATTGGCATCTGAAGAAGTGAGGTTCTTACCCACGAAAAGCTTATGCTCCCAGTACTTCTGTTAGTCTCAAAGGTGCCACAGGACCCTCTGTTGCCTCTGGGACAGGCTCTGGAACCACTGAGATCCACAGTGTGGTGTGTAAATGGCTTTGCTGGCAGAGGAACGGCTGCGCAGAGATGCAGAAACCCAAAAGGGGCTTGTGTTCCTGGTGCAACACCAGCAGTAATGAACAGCAGCAAGTAGACAGGTGTGCCAGTCTCACAGCCACTTGAGTGCAGGACTGGACACCAAGTTCTGGGGCTTCATTTAGGGACAAGTTTATCCCACCAGCCCTGCAGAGTTCACCAGCCTCCTAATCAGTAAAGTCCACAATCCTCGGGGTTCAGAATGACATCAAGAAGTCTAGACCTCAAATTCCAGGGTCCAGGCTGATCTTTGGCAACAAAGGCACCACCAGGCCAGATCACACCTGCAGTCCATCTAGTCCAGTATCCTGCCTCTGACAGGCCAACATCAGATGCCTCAGGGAAGTTAAAAGAAACCCAGCAGTAGCAGATGTGAGGTAAACTACCTACCATGTAGGTCTCAGCCTAGTCCCTAACAGGTTTAACCCTCAAAGCCATGAGTTTTTATCCCTTCCAAACTCTGCTGGCATTAACTGTTATAACTGCATATTCTTGTAACCCATATACATGGCTAGCCATGTCTGCCTCTTGCTTTTCTCTGCATCAACAGATACAACGCCCGGTCTGCACCTCTCCTTCGGTAACCGTGTCAGGGCAGCACTCCAGAATCAGAGCACCCAGCAACATATGATATTCAGACTCTCTAGTATCTCACACTGTGATGAAGAAACCAAAAGCCAGCTGGCCTCCAGGACTGAAAATACATCAGAGGAAATCTAATAATGCCCAGCCCGCAGCAAACCCTGAGTGAGTAATTCTGCCCCTGTAGCGCACCTAGCGGATGAAGGGAGAGTTTCCGCAGTTACCACAGAACCAGGTTGAGATCTGGATCCATACTAAATAAGGATAAGGCCAACAAGGTTGAGGGTGACTGCCCAGCACCAGAATGTCACTGTGTAACTGGTTTAGTGCATCCATCAAGATACAAGTGGTGAAGGGCAAGAGTGACCACTAGGCACTAAGTGCAAGTTTCTCCTGGGCCACCTATTGAGAGAAGCACTATTGCTTCTCCTAGGCAGCTGAGTGCATGCTTGGTCGCAGTGGCACTGTAAGTCAGGAAGCTTTGACCTGCATACTTGTGCTCACCGACATCCCAGCCATCCTCAGACCATGCAGCAAGGCCTGTGAAGAGTGGCTCCGGGCAGAAAACCAACTGGAAGAGCGGGGGGGGGGGAGGGGGGGGGGGGTCGCCACCCT